CCCAGGAGTTGGAGGTTGCTGTGAGCTGTGATGCCATAGCACTCTACCCAGGGGGATAGCTTGAGGCTCCGTCTCAAAAAAAAATTTAAAAAAAAAAGTAAACTTTCTTTGTAAAAGTCTATTTGTAATATTGAGAAAAAAGATTTGAAGTATTTTTTAATCCTCTCTTCTTCATCAAGTGACTTGGAGAATGAAATTGAAAATAAAAAAGCCCAGATATTAAATATCCATCAGCATTTGTCTGCTCTTGAAAAGGGTGTTAAACGCAACGAAGAACTTCTGACAAGGTGCCAACTACATTATAAAGAATTAAAGGTAAAAAACTAAACATCATTTTATTTTTCTTGTTGCTTCCAAGTTAATTTTAAGATTTTTGTCATTCATTCTGAGCAGTACTTCTCAAACGTTTGCCCTCATGCCCCTTATACTCTTCATAGAACTTTGATTTATGTGGGTTATATATCTTTTAATATTTTTATTTTTAAACATTGAAACAAAATTTAAGAATATTTCTTTATTTAAAAATAATAAACAGTTGACATAAATAATATTTTTAATGAAAAACCAAAACAAAAAGTTAAACTAAATAAATTTAGTGAGAAGATTGGTATTTTTTGGTAGATCTCCAATGTTGTTTTAATAAAATTTAACTAGTTGCGTCCACTTTTGCGTTCACTCGGATGTGATACTACACACCATATAATTATAAACCTTCTATGTACTCATAACCCAATGGTAGTAACAATGGTGAATAATATCTTAGTGTTTTTATGAAAATAGTTTTAACCTTATGTACCCTCTCAAAGAGCCTCAGAGACTCTCAAAGGTTATTTGGAGGTTATTTGGATTATACTTTGAGAACCACTAGATTAGAATAATCTTTCTGTAACTTAAGACTTTGGATGTTTCAGAGAAATATTTTCTCTATGGTCTCAACAGTGTCTTCATTTTAAATGCTAAGGTGGATTGCTGACATATTTTTGGCATAGGAATGGATTACCAATAAGGGTGATTGTGTCAGAATTTATACATGGCCTCCTTTGGTTTACTTAATACTGATGTACCTCTTTCATTAATTATGGTATCCTTCTATATCAGGAAGCATCCTGGAGCGCATTCTGGTTGGGTGCATAAATGTTAATAATTGAAATCTTAACATTTTGAGTGTTACCCTTAACAAATATGAAGTGATCACCCTTATCTTTCCTTACTTTGGTTGGTTTAAAGCCTATTATATCTGCGAATAAAATTGCAACACCTGCTTTTTTTCTGATTTTCATTTGCCTGAAATATAGATGACCATCCCTTCACGCCGAGTCTATAGTTATCTTTTAAAGTAAGATTAGATTCTTGGCTCGGCGCCTGTGGCTCAAGCGGCTAAGGCGCCAGCCACATACACCTAAGGTGGCGGGTTCGAATCCCCAGTGTGGACCCGCCAAACAACAATGACGGCTGCAACCAAAAAATAGCCGGGCGTTGTGGCGGGCGCCTGTGGTCCCAGCTACTTGGGAGGC